ATGAAGTTTATTATTCAATGCCCCCTCTGGTGCATACTGCATAACGAGAGCATAATTTCCAAATACATTTTTTGATAGGCTTTATAGATCTCAATAGAGACCCAAAGTTTCAACTTCAGCCCCACAGTTATATTAGATATAATCTCAGGAAAATGAAGGAATTTACATTGTCACGTACACACCATCTACAGTTTCATTTAATTATCATCTAATTTTTAATTGAGGTAGTAAATCTTGTATTAATTAATCATCTTGTTTCTATTGCATAAAAAAGTTTATTAATATAAATTATAAATTTCGTAAGATTAAGAATTGTAGGCATTATGAATGCAATGGCTTAAATTGCATGAAATGACACTGAAAGTACCAAAACACTATCACCAAAGAGTATATACTTGTTAGTATTTAATAAATTTGATTCAGAAGATAAAAAGAATGAAAGATGTGCACATTGCAATCGGTACAACAACACTTTAAAAGCCTAGTGCCAGACTTGTGATCCTGAGAATACTGTAATTTAAGAGTGGAAAAGTGAAAAGGAGTGTGTTGACAAACATATTAAAGAACTGCAACTTAAAATCACAAAATATAATAACATTATCGAATATAGGAGATGAATTTTTAGCAACCTGATGGTGTACGAATAATCTCGGATGAAGATAGGAATATGTACAGTCACACACGCCACCATGTACAATAGCGCTTAAAAGACTGTCGATTCACAGAATTCATTAGATATATTAAAAGAAGTAAGTTAAATATAACACTAACTGCAGTATTATGTTACCACACCATAGGTGTATTTTATATAATTTCAAAATACTTTTCGCAAAGTTCAGCCCCAGCCAAATAAGTTATTCAGTACATCAGCATATATTGAAGCTTGACAATGGCGACTTCCATAGTCATCATAACACAAACTTTTGTAGTTACTGAATCACGGACAATAATTATACCTATAACTATAAATACACAAGTTTCTGCAATTTTGGCCATGATGACAACGATTCCTATTCCTGTAACTAGTAACATAATCCAATCATCTATTTAAACACAACGTTTATTAGCACAAATACAGATGATTGTCATGTTGAATTGTGTTTTTCTTTTTGTCAAAATATAATCTTTGAATTCTTGCACCTAAATTAAAATTTTCTGTAAACTCTCTAACTTCTACTGGAAAATTAACTAACATACATTCACAAATGACATATGGTTAAAATTTATACAAGCCATTACCAAGATACTGTATATGACAACTATAACTACTACATTCAAACCTATTATCCACAAAGTATTATTGTTGCTATACCCAGAAGAGATTCTATTCTATGGAATGGCTACATATTTCTAAAGACATTTACATGATTAGCTAATTTATGCTGATCAAAACGTGATTATTGACAAATGTATTTATAATGCAGGCGAAACTTATCATTTTACACAACCTGATTTGTACATAAAAACGTGATATACAGTACTAGGAAAATGCATTATGGGTCCAGAGCGCATCATATGGTGATCATATTATTACACAAATTACAAATTTGGATTTAATTTACCAACTTTTTGTCTGTCCGCCCATGTGACCAAATTACATTTCTGATGTGATCTTTATGTTGTTTATGTAGATACATCAAAAAAGTAACTATGATGCATCAATAACGTAACTTTTATATCACTTTGCATAGAAACTAAGGGTCCATCACTACGCTCTGGACAAAAACTGATTTGCGTGTAACAAAGTTCAATAACGTCATACGATTACGTTCTTAAATTTGTAGGTTGTAACTGTATCGGAATCATTTCCGTTGATTGTTTTTTGTTTTAAACATGAATGCTCAAGAATTGTTTAAACTTGGAAAGAGTTATCAAAAAGGAGATGGAGTCGAAAAAGATGAGAAATTAGCTTTTGAGTATATTCAGAAATGTGCAGAGATGAATTATGCAAGTGGTATCGTTTACCTTGGGTCTTATTATGAAGTTGGATTCGGTGTTAATAAAGATGAACATAGAGCATTCGAGTATTACCAAAAAGCTGCCGATATGTTTGAACCAGAAGGAAATTTTCAGGTTGGTGTGTGTTATAATAAGGGAATTGGTGTCGATGTAAATGAAAACAAAGCATTGGAATATTTCCAAAGGGCTGCTGATACGGGTCATTGGCTTGGAAAGTTATTGATTGAAGGGGGTGTGAATGATTTTAATTATTTTATGAATGTTTTAGTAAAGGTTCAGAATGATATCGATAATAACGGTATTGATAATAATGTATGTTATCATTTTGAATTGATCACAAATTCGGATATGGATTTTGAAGAATTAGAAGATCTTGCGACTATAAAAAATTGGATACCAAATGATGAATTTAAAAATTTAAAAAAAATAGGAGAGGGAGGATTCTCTAATGTATATCTCGCTGAATGGAAAAATGAGCAAGTCATACTTAAAGTCATTAAAGATTCATCTCCAAACTTTCTTGTGGAATTTGCTTTTTCTACTAATCTTCTTAAAGATAATACCAATTTTATAAAATATCACGGAGTATCAAAAAATGTATTTGGAAATTATGCTCTCGTTATGCAGTATGCACCAGAGGGGGCATTGAATAATAAACTTCAT